CCCCCCCCACCCTGACACAGATGCAGCCTCTGCAGCAGCCAGGGCTGGACAGACCTGGGGAGAGCCCCTCTCCCCCATCCAGGTGCACAGAAACTGCCCTCCTGGGGCAGCAGCTGAGAGGAAGGAGGGAGGTGCCCAGTGTACCCAGTAAAGGACGGAAATGTAAGTGTTCTCCCTTGTGCCGAGACCCCGGACCCCCCCCCCCCGGAGGGGGCCTGGCACAGCCCTACCGAAGGCCTTGGCGATTGCGATGGTCTCCAGCAGGCCCATGAGTGGCACCACGGCCAGCCCAGCTCCCAGGTCCTGGGCCAGGGAAGGAAGCGGTGTGAGAGCAGAGAGCGCCCAGGTGAGGATGCCCAGCCCCTGTCATCTCCCAGAGCAGCAGGGAGAGCCGACCACGTGCCAGGGCCTCGCGTAGGGCAGTGCAGCCAGGTAAGGCCAAACTGGAGCTGCTGGCAGCATTCCCAAGGCTCCACCAGTCCCCAGGTACGGGGGGGTCCCGTAAAGGGGCGAGACCCCCACTCCCATGTGGATTTCTGCCTCTTCCTGCTGCAAAGGTGCAGCGCAACAGAAGCACATCTGGGAAGAGCCCCCCCCAGCCCCACCTCAGCCCCCCGCTTCACGCACCTGAACCATCTCGCCAAAGGGGACGGTGCCGTTGGCCGTGACCTTGGAGAAGGGAGGCGGCTGGAAGGGAGGCAGCCCCTTGGGCGTCTCCCCGGTGAGCACAAAGGGCTGGGAGCCTGTCACCTGGAACGAGTAGGCAACCAGGCCAGCAAACAGGACCACGAGGGCATTGCGGGCTGCAGAAGGGGGGAACGAGCAGAGTGAAGGCATCGTGCCGGGCCCCGCTGCACCACAGGCTGCTGGGGTGGGCTCAGAGAGATGTGCATCGGCAGCTCATCCTAGCCTGGGAGGCGATGCCCGTTAAGCGCAGGTCCCAGGGGTGTCTGCTCCGGCAGGGGCAGGCACCGATGGTCCAGGCAGGGCCACCTCATACCAGGGCCCCAAGCAGCTGTCCTCGTACAACAGCTCGTGGTCCCTGGGTGAGACCCAGGCCTGGCAGGCAAAGGTCCCGGCCCCATCGCTCTTCCCAGAGCCCCCGGCGCTGTGCGCACCACCTCCTCACTCCGTTGGCCCCGGTGCAGCCCCCGGCCCCGCGGCACATTGCTGCAGGGCACATGCAAACCCAACCAACCTGTCGCCGTGGCCCAGACGATCAGATGACCCATCCTGACCAGCAGCGGCTCCATCCGGCAGCCCCGGGGGACGTGGCCCTTCATGCACCGGAGCCCCATGAGCACGACCAGGCAGACCAGCCCCAGGGCGGCATCCCCGACCCTACAAACAGCTCAGCTCAGTGCCCACCTTGGGAGCCCTTGCACCCATCACAGTTGCAACGGCTTCTCCCTGCTGAGAAGGGGGAACCCCCGCAAGGCCCCACTGTGAGCAGTGGAGATGTCCTGACAGCGAGCAGGGCCCATGCTCCAGCTGGAAAGACACGGGAGCTTCCCCTCCTGACAAGAGAAGTCTCCTCCCAGCTAACGAGGGCAAAGGGACAAGTATAGCAGGAGCCACTGCCAACTGGAGCCATCCCAAGGCAAACCGCGCCTGTCCTCGATTCAACCTCCCGCTGCCCTGGAGAGGTGCCTGTGCCCCTGGTCCCGCAGGCACAGAGCAAACCTTGTACCCACTCGCCCCAGGCTTGCAACCACAGCAGGGCGATATGAGTGGCTGAGCTCAGAGCCATGGGCTCAGAGCAATGGGAAATAATTTGACTCCATCCCTCCCTTTTGGGCAGTTCGGGCACTAAGCCCATTTCCTGACCGGTCCAACTGGCTGCAGAGAGCACAAGCCCTGAGCGAGCATGGGGCACGGGGCAGTGTCCGGAGGAATTAGCTCCCCAGGGTGAGAGGATGCCTCTGGCCTTCCTGGGTGCTGAGAGCTTTCCAGCCACGCTCCCTGCTCCAAGGGGCTTTGCTGGAAGGGACAGACAAGGGCGTAGGCAAAGGGGGCGCTGACCTGGTCTCCCTGACGCGCCGGAAAGTCTCATACACCTGCAAGAAGAACTGCCGTGGGATGCCGCGCAGCCCCAGGATGTTCTGTGCAAACAAGCAGAGCCCCATGACAGCCCCGCACAGCCCCCAGGGCCCTGCCACCTGTGCACCACGGTGCTGCTGTCAGGCTGTAAGCCCCGATCAAGGACTTTTCTCCGGGCCCTTCCCCTCTCCCAGTGCCACCCAGACCCAGGGTTCAGAGGGGAACCAGCTCGCAGGCTCCGACCCTCACCCCCCTGGAGCCTGGCTGGCAAAACCCACCCCACTAAAGGTCATTTAATCCAAGGCAGGTAATTTAACCCACCCCCAGACTCCCCACGCCTCATCTATCACGGGAACGTGAGAGCGACGAGGCCGACGGAGCTCAGCGGTTCCTACTACAAGCAGCACTGGTTGCGATCACGTGACCTTAGCTGCCGTCTGTTTTCTAGCCCTGCGTCTCTGATTACGGTCAACCACAAAGGAAACGCTCCCTTCCAGCCTCGCCCAGCATTGCGCAAAACCACCCGAGGCACAAGGAAACTGGCCCAGGTCCCTGCCAGTCCAACCTCGCAGCCAATCCCAGTGCCTCGGAGCAAATCACACCCCACCACAGGCGAGCAACAATCAGACAGAGGCATCTCAGTTTTGCTGAGAGTTTTGGCAAATCTGTCCAGGCGCAACCTCTCTCCTAGCCTGTCCCCTGCGGCACGAGCAATTTCCAAGGGGAGCAGGTCCAGCTACAAGACCCGATCCACCCGCGTGCATGGAAGTGCCCTCCTCGTTCACCTGCAGACCGGCAGGCCGGGCAGCATGCAGAGCGCGGAGGATGGAGACAGCCTGGAGCTCAGGGGCACCAGCAGTGGGGCAGGCTGGCCACGCCACACTGCGTGCACGCTCCGAGGATGATTTTGCATGGCTGCCTGAGGGCTCCTAGGCAAAGTAAACCAAAGTACAGCCATGGCAAAAGGCCTACCTTGACCTGGCTGAAGCTAATGGTGACCGAAGCAGCTGATGTAAAGCCTGTGATGACGGGGTAGGAAATGAAGTCCAGCAGGAAACCTGTAGCGGATGCAGATGGATGTGGTGAGCAGGTCTCAGGCACCGAATGCAGCGCGCCCACACATGCATGTGCAGAGCAAAGCTTTGCAAGCCATAGCTAGACAGCACAGAGACGGGGGAAGCGTGTAGCTTGAACAGAACAACAAACTGCATTGCACGGAAACAGGGGCAGAGCGGGGGCTGCCGCATCTCACCCAGGTGCAGGAGGCCCATGGCTAGCTGGATGCAGCCCGACAGGAAGGCGAGCAGGGTGGCATAGGCAGGGTCGTGGAAGGCGTACGAAGAGACCAGCAGCGACATAATGGCCGTGGGGCCCAGCGTCACATCCTTGGAGGTGCCCAGGAGGCAGTAAACGAAGCAGCCCACGAAGGAGGAATAGAGACCGTACTGTGCGAGGACAAAGAGAGTGTTCAGCCCTGCCAGGGCCCGGGCTGGCGGACACGCCAGGCACGGAGGCGTCCCAGGGCCCTTGCCGCTCGGCATGAGATCAACAGGCAGAGCGTGGCCGGCTGCAAGCCGCTCCTCGCTACGGTGTCCGGAAGGTATAGGTCTTCTGTGCCTTATAGACGTGCCTTGCATATATGCCTTAACCGACCAGAGGAAAACTCGTGCACCCATTACAACGTGTGCACCTGCAGAACGGCTCCCGCGCACCCGTGTGCAAGGCATCGTCTCTGCACAGGCGCTCTCAGAAACACCTCCAGGAAGATACGAGCGGTCAGCCTCCGACCTTGACCGCCCCGGGCACCCGGGACCCGCTGCGACCGTGGTGTTACCACTCCACGGGTGGCCAGCCCGCCCGGCTGCAGCAACCGCCTAGGCGGGCTCTGCGCCCCCCAGTGAAGGGCACCCCTTGCAGACACTGCAGATGCCGGGATGCTTCACGGCCTGGCAGCACTGACCGAACTCCAGAAGCGGGCAGGCGAGAAGAGACCCGTACTAACGACGCTAACGGGATAACAGCGTGCCCGGGGGCCCAGGCCCTGGCGCTCTGCAGGGCAGCTGGCACCTTTCCCCTCCCCGCCGCCCTCTCCGCGGCCCGCTGGTCTCCCCGGGCGGCGCCGCTCACCTGGGCTGGCAGGCCGGCCACCTCGGCGTAGGCCAGGGCTTGCGGCACCACGGTCAGGCCCACGGTCAGGCCGGCGACGAGGTCGAGCTGGAGGCAGCGCA